ATCTACCCTAAACATTATTTTTGGGTCATTTACGCTCATGTTTGACAAAACATTTACGAAGAAATCATGAGGGTAGAAATGAGGGTAGAAATGAGGTTAGATCTAACCATCTACCCTAAACATTATTTTTGGATCATTTACGCTCATTACGATGAAGAAATCATGACAAAACATTTACGATGAAGAAATCATGACAAAACATTTACGAAGAGATTCCGTATGAAAATTCATGAGGGTAGAAATGAGGTTAGATCTAACCATCTACCCTAAACATTATTTTTGGGTCATTTACGCTCATGTTTGACAAAACATGTACGCTCATTACGATGAAGAAATCATGACAAAACATTTACGCTCATTACGATGAAGAAGTTTCGACAAATCATGTACGCTCATTACGATGAAGAAGTTTCGACAAATCATTTACGATGAAACCTTGACAAAAACATAAACGAAGAAGTTTCGACAAAACATATACGTTTAGTTTCGACAAAACATGTACGATGAAGAAATCATGAAAATTCAATGAGGGTAGAAAAGAGGTGAGAAAAGAGGTTAGATCTAACCATCTACCCTAAACATTATTTTTGGATCATTTACGCTCATTACGATGAAGAAATCATGACAAATCATTTACGATGAAGAAATCATGACAAAACATATACGTTTAGTTTCGACAAATCATTTACGTTTAGTTTCGACAAAACATGTACGATGAAGAAATCATGAAAATTCAATGAGGGTAGAAAAGAGGTGAGAAAAGAGGTTAGATCTAACCCATCTACCCTAAACATTATTTTTGGATCATTTAGCTCATTACGATGAAGAAGTTTCGACAAAAACATGTACGATGAAGAAATCATGACAAAACATTTACGCTCATTACGATGAAGAAGTTTCGACAAAGCAATATACGCTCATTACGATGAAGAAGTTTCGACAAATCATTTACGAAGAAATCATGACAAAACATGTACGAAGAAATCATGACAAAACATATACGTTTAGTTTCGACAAATCATTTACGAAGAGATTCCGTATGAAAATTCATGTACGATGAAGTTTCGACAAAACATATACGTTTAGTTTCGACAAAACATATACGTTTAGTTTCGACAAAACATGTACGATGAAGAAATCATGACAAAACATTTACGCTCATTACGATGAAGAAATCATGACAAATCATTTACGAAGAGATTCCGTATGAAAATTCATGAGGTGAGAAAAGAGGTGAGAAAAGAGGTGAGATCTCATCTCTTCACCTAAACATTATTTTTGGGTCATTTACGCTCATTACGATGAAGAAATCATGACAAAACATTTACGAAGAAATCATGACAAATCATTTACACTCATGTTTGACAAAACATATACGTTCATGTTTGACAAAACATATACGTTTAGTTTCGACAAATCATTTACGAAGAAATCATGACAAAACATATACGAATAAATCATGACAAAACATATACGATGAAGAAATCATGACAAAACATATACGCTCATTACGATGAAGAAATCATGAAAATTCATGAGGTGAGAAAAGAGGTGAGAAAAGAGGTGAGATCTCATCTCTTCACCTAAACATTATTTTTGGGTCATTTACACTCATTACGATTAAATCATGACAAAACATAAACGATGAAATCATGACAAAACATTTACGTTCATGTTTGACAAAACATTTACACTCATTACGATGAAGAAATCATGACAAAACATTTACGTTCATGTTTGACAAATCATTTACGAAGAAATCATGAAAATTCATGAGGTGAGAAAAGAGGTGAGAAAAGAGGTGAGATCTCATCTCTTCACCTAAACATTATTTTTGGGTCATTTACACTCATTACGATTAAATCATGACAAAACATTTACGTTCATGTTTGACAAAACATTTACGTTCATGTTTGACAAAACATTTACGTTCATGTTTGACAAAAACATATACGATTAAATCATGACAAAACATAAACGATGAAATCATGACAAAACATATACGAATAAATCATGACAAAACATATACGATTAAATCATGACAAAACATTTACGATGAAGAAGTTTCGACAAATCATGTACGCTCATTACGATGAAGAAGTTTCGACAAATCATGTACGATGAAGTTTCGACAAAACATGCTGTCAAAATACTTTGCATTTGGTACATATTGCAAAACATTTACACTCATTACGATGAAGAAATCATGACAAAACATGTACGAAGAAGAAGTTTCGACAAATCATGTACGATGAAGTTTCGACAAAACATATACGTTTAGTTTCGACAAAACATGTACGCTCATTACGATGAAGAAGTTTCGACAAATCATGTACGCTCATTACGATGAAGAAGTCATGAAAATTCATGAGGTGAGAAAACATGTTAGAAAAGGTGTTAGATCTAACATTCTAACATAAACATTATTTTTGGGTCATTTACGCTCATTACGATGAAGAAGTCTTGACAAAACATTTACACTCATTACGATGAAGAAATCATGACAAAACATAAACGAAGAAATCATGACAAAACATATACGTTTAGTTTCGACAAATCATTTACGAAGAAATCATGACAAAACATATACGATGAAGAAGTTTCGACAAAACATGTACGATGAAACCTTGACAAAACATGTACGCTCATTACGATGAAGAAATCATGACAAAACATGTACGAAGAAGTCTTGACAAAACATTTACGAAGAAGAAGTTTCGACAAAACATGTACGATGAAACCTTGACAAAACATGTACGCTCATTACGATGAAGAAATCATGACAAAACATGTACGCTCATTACGAGAAGAAGTTTCGACAAAACATGTACGATGAAGAAATCATGACAAAACATATACGTTTAGTTTCGACAAAACATATACGTTTAGTTTCGACAAAACATGTACGAAGAAGTTTATTTCCTGGACTGTTGTCTAAATGTCATGTTGTCAGTAATTTTAAGAGAAGTTCATTAACCGAGTGACACATGGTGACGTAGTGACACCTAAAAACCATCTACCCTAAACATTATTTTTGCTGAATTCAACAACAAAATGAACGAGGTCAGGATGTAATGCAAATACCTTTGAATTCATTCATAAATGCCCTTAGTAAGCTCATAAAATGTTTGTTTTGAGGTCGAGCCACTTTTTGGCTCCACCGTATTCTTTCAACCAAAAACTCAAGAATTTTCCTGCGTGAATTTTGTAATAAAACCAACCGTCTGAATTCAGGCGGTTGTTATATTCTTCACAAAATGCCTTATAATACTCTTCGTTCTACAAAGCAAGCATATCATTGGTTTGAAAACCAACAGACAAAAGAACTTTTAGAAGAATTTCCTCATATGATTGCTTCCCTCGGAAAACCGAGAGAAGAAGATTCCGTATGAAAATTCAAGAGGGTAGAAAAGAGGGTAGAAATGAGGTTAGATCTAACATTCTAACATAAACATTATTTTTGGGTCATTTACACTCATTACGATGAAATCATGACAAACATATACGTTCATGTTTGACAAATCATTTACGATGAAATCATGACAAAACATTTACGATGAAATCATGACAAAACATTTATGTTATACAGTAATGTTAGTCATGAATGTTTGTCCTACGTGTTGGCGTTAGTGTTGAAAAATAATGTTTGTCCTACATGAAGCCGTACAAGCGTTTGAATTTGTTTATGCATAAGATTACTCTCTTGTTTTCTGTATCTATCATACAAACATAAGCAGCACCTGTTTTTGTAAAGTTTATATGAAGTTTTCGATAGTTAAGACCTGTATAATAATAGAATGCGTCCTCATTCTCAACATAGTAGTAGAACTCAAACGAATGCTTACCATAATCTGTTATTTCAACAGCTTCGTCAGATAATTTCATCAACGAACTCATAAACTATATCGGCCCATACTTGCTTTTATTTCTATTGTTTTCAGATTTAGAACACCACGAAGGTTTGAGATTCTGTTGTCCGTTCTATCATGATTTATATGGTCTATTTCTTTCAATTGTTTGGATTTTCAATCCACTGTTCTGCAATAATTCTATGCTTTAAATGTGTTTTGTTGTTTAAACTAGCTCAATATAACCATGATTATTTAAGCATTCACTCTTAATATGTTTGTTTTTCTTTCGACGAATAGTAAAAGGATATGTCGTACAAATCTCATAATCTTCATGATTTCTCATGTTTCCCATTGAGTTTGTTCCCCACTAACGTTCTCATTGACGTCTTCAATATCTTCTTCCTCACTGACTCGTCAATATTTTCACTAGCTCCTTCTGTAATGTTTTCATCGGCATTGTCATTGACTTCTTCTGTAATGTTAGATGTTGTTGTTTCGCTCATGTTCTTTCACTAATGTTAAAAAGTTATGTTGTACGAATTTTTGAACAGAATTTAGAGCAGTTATGAAACAATGAAGTATTTTTACGCTATTGAAAGGAACTATGAGAGTGAAGTACATGACAGCAATGACAAAAGGAACTAATATCAAACCTAATGAAATCGCTCACGAGGACATAGAGTTAACAAGTACTTTGTGGAGTATCTTATAAGTGAAGAGTATGTAAGACCTTACTTCATGTTTGACAGCATGAATGAGGATGTTATTTCATGGTTAAAGAATATAAGCAATGTTTTCGGTAAGTACGTATAGATGACAAAGGTCTTGTTGTATTTTTATGAGACAGCAATACGAACACAGGAACTAATGGATATTATGCACTCAACAGCAAAGAAAGGATTTAGTACTATTGGCATGAATGAACATTGCAGGAATGACATATACAACCTATGCTCACGAAAGCCTTACACAAAAGCAATACAAATGATAGAACATAAGTGTCTAAGGTCAGCAAATGAAATCATTACTGTCAGTGGTTATGAAAGAACTGTTAGCAAAGATGAGTGGAAACAGCTATTCATATTAAGGAAGGACGTTGCTGAACTAGTTAAACCTGTTGCACAAACATTGTTTCAGATAAGACCAGCAATGACTAAGAACCCTTTGACCTTAGTCAATGAGACCATAGAGGTTGAAGATAATGACATGAAAGAACTAGGAATGAATGAGAGAAGTTGTGAAGGATGTTTGAGTCAAAACACATGGTTCTTCAGAGCTGTTAAGAAACTTAGTAAAGAACGACAGAAATATTTTATAGAGAAGTATTGCAAAGGATGTGTAAATGAATTGCTTGAAATAGAACTTAGAGACACTTTCACACTAAAGGACTTGAGAAGAAATAAGTACATGAGTGAAGGTATTGACATAGCTAGTGTTATAAATGACTTAAGAAGATGTGTTGTCGTTATTGACGGAGCACGTATGACATATCTAGTGAAAGATTATGATGGAATACGAGACACAACAACACTTGTGTCAGTAGATAGCAAGGAATTCAATAAGCTCATGAAGAGTGTTTATGTAGGACGTATTGAGGAGAAGGATGTGAACGCACTGATGATTTATGAAGCGGGTCAGAACAAGAACTATCTTATGAAGTCAGGCATGAGATTCTTTGACGAAAGAGATGACATTTACAGCTATTTCAGAGGATATGAGTATGAGGTACTGAATGAAGTAGATGAAAGCATTATTGAAGGATATTTGAAACATGTTCACGATGTCATATGTAATGAGGATGAAGAGCTTTATGAGTATGTTTTGAACTGGTTCGCCTACATCGTTCAAAATCCTTGTGGAAAGACTGGAACAGTACTTTTGTTAATAGGAAAGCAAGGAACTGGTAAGAATGTACTTAGTAATGTTCTATGCGAGCTCATTAGCAAGTACGCCAACAATAATATAACGGCAATAGAGAATGTGGTTGGTAGATTCAATGCTGCTATTGAGAACATGAAGCTCATCGTATGCAATGAACTAAGCTCATGCGATACGTCTAAGGTCATGAACCACGACGCACTAAAGTCAATAGTAACAGAGACTCAGTTGGACTTAAATCAGAAGTGTCAGCCAGTAAGAAAGATAGAGAATGTTTGTAATATCATCATGATATCTAACAACTTCAACTCAGTAAAGATTGACAAAGACGACAGAAGATTTGTTGTCATTGACGTAAGCAGCAGATACAAAGGAAATTACGAATATTTCTCAAATCTCATTGAAAGCTTTAATGAAGAGTTTTATTCAAACTTACTGACGTACTTCATGAAGAAAGATTTAAGTGAATTTGATGTAAGGAAGATACCATTCACCAGGGCTAAACAAGAACTCATCGAAATGAACAAAACACCTTACCAAATGTTTTACGAGGAGTTCTATGAAAAGTTTGTATCCGGATGGAATTGTACAGAGTGCTACAGAAGATATAAAGAATTTGCGAAGGAGAATGAATTCTTTGCATGTAGTTCAAATGTATTTGGTGGCAAGATGAGAGAATTTGTGAAGAGAAGTAGAAAGCGAGACGGTTCTGCAAGAAGTTATATTTACGAAGCAAGTATGATATTAGAAGGTCGTGGAAAGAAAGAAACAGTGAATTATGAGGAAGTGCTTGAAAAATTCATGGAGTACATGGGAAGCAATATAACATACAACAAAGACATATACAGTGAGTTTAAGTACTACTGTGAACAGCATGAGATTGAAGTAATGAGTAAAGGAGACTTTGAAACGCTTATGAAAGACAGTAAGGAGGTCGTTCATGAGAACAGTGTTGAAATAGTTCATGAGAACAGTGAGGAGGTCATACATGAATGCAATGATGAAATAGTTCACGATGTCGTTCGTGAAGAAGCCATTGCAACAAAGAATGATATAAAGGATTTCATAGAACTTAACAAGGAGGAGTTTAAAGAAGGCTATGAAGTGAAAAGATGTGAAGAAGATTTCTTGGCGTATTTGAAGAAAAAGAACTAAAGCCAATGGCTCAAAATAAGTTTCAATCGATGTTTGAAAAGAAACGTTTGAGCTATGGTGGTGTAAGAAGCACATATTACTTTGTTAAGAAGTGAGGACATTAATTTTTTTGTCTTAGTGTTGGAGTTTGTGTTTGTTGTTAGTGTTTTGTCATTTGTGCTGAAGTTAGTACTTGATGCTAGTGTTGGAGTTTGTGTTTGTTGTTAGTGTTTGTCATTTGTGCTGAAGTTAGTACTTGATGTTAGTGTTGGAGTTTGTGTTTGTTGTTAGTGAGAGAATAAATTAAATCATGAACTTTGCCATGGCCTCTGTCCCTAGTAGTTTTCATTAAGTTCTGGAAATAATGAAAGTCATAAACTTTGCCATGGTCTCTGTCCCTAGTAGTTTTCATTATCTCACAGAGTTAATGAAAGTCATACTTTCTATCAGATGAAGCATGCAGATGAACATAATGAAAGTTAGTGAGTTTGCCACGAGTTATGAATAAAATATTGGCATATTAGATGAGATAGCTGATGAAACAGATGAAGATAAATTAAATCTTGGACTTTGCCACACTCTGTCCCTAGTTCCTCAAAATCCTTGACAACGTTGCTTAGAAATTTTGGTTCAAAACCTCATCTGATTTTAATCTGTTATGCTACCTGTTAAGTTTCGCGAGATTATAAATGTCATGGAGTTATATAAAAAGGAGGGCAGCTAGGGACACTGGAAGTACTTGTAAGGCTATCTGTTAAGATTGCATGAAATACTAAAAAGTCATGAAATCCATTATCGCTGTGCTAGCTTCACCTTTGATTGAAATGACGACTAAAGTCACTGAAGCAATGAAACAAAAGTTTTTGGTAGAATACATTAAATCAGGAACTATTCCAGAAGGTTTTTACATTCATACTATGAAGGATGGTAGAGTTCAGTTTAGAAAGATAAAGCAACCATTAGATAAAGAAGGTATATTAAGGAAGATTAAACTTCATGAGGACAACATTGCTGAACTTAGGAAGAAGTTAGAAGTATGGCATTCCAAACGGGAACCGCGGTTGGTTACCATGGATTTCCGTCACCGGTCACATTTTAAAGATTTTTAAAGCCTTATAAAAATATGCTTTGTAAATCATTTTTTGTAAATCGGCAAAAATTTGGTAATTTTCTTCAACTAATAAATCTGCGAATAGCATTTATAATACAAGAACAATCTTTTAAAATGCGTTTGATTCATTTTTGTATAATTTCATATAGGCACATATATTCTTCCGGGACTTTCCGTGATTTTACCGTAAATCATTAGTTTACACCAATTTTTTCCGTATTTTGAATAGTTTACTGCACTTTTCCGTAAAATTGAGTTACGGGAATCCGCAAAATTTCCGGACCTCATTTTCATAGAATATAATAATAATATTTGATAAAAAGATATATTATTTATATTTTGATTTTTGAATTACGGAAAAAGTGAATTGATAACTTGATTTTTTATATGGTGAATTTTTCAAATGATATTATGAAGATCTAAAATATTAAAAGTAAAAAATTGAATTACGGAAAAAGTGAGGTCAAAAGTGAAATAAATTTGCAGAACAATTTTCATTGAAATAAGCTTTATTTTTCATTATTAATAACAATGCTGTAATAAACAGAAATTCATCAAAAGTGACAGCTCTCAATTTTTTGACATTTGTAAATTTCTAAATTGAATGAGAAAAATGAAATAATACTAAGCATAATACAATATTCTAGATTTAATTATAATTAGGAAAAAGTTAGTTTTGAGAGTACTTTTCATAGGCATATAGAATGAAATCTTCTGAAAAATAATATCACATAAACTCATATTATTTTCTAATATATAACTATTTTATATAAAAATCAAATTCAATGATCTTAAAAGCGAAGGATAAACCTCAAAATTTACGAATATAATGAGTGTGAATATAATGCTTATCTATCATAAAACCATATGAAATATCAATTTTTGCTTTACGCCTAATTTTGACGACAATTAGCAAAAAATGTTAAATGTTAACACTCAGTCCATTTGAATATGAAAAAATAAAATTGACTTTGATTAAATGTTTTTATTTATCATGCAATTCTTCTTGCGACCAAAGATTTGAATAAAATTTCAAAAAATAAGATAGCTTAAAAAATAATATACGGTAGTGTTTACTAATAGATGAATAGTATATAAATTCTATTAAAATGGATTTGATCCAAAAAAATATATAAAATTTGATCATAAATAAAATCGTTTTAAATTACTTCTTCATTTAAATTATAACAATTATTTTTGGTTTTATAGTTTTTTAAAGCTCATGTGGTTTTTTAACCACAGAATACTTATGTGCTGTAGCAAGCTTGCAATCCAAAGCTCACGTTAGACAACAAGAGTCATGAAGTCTCATACTAAGGGATATCCAACATATATTTTAATAATCTAATGTTTGTGAAATATTCAACATAAAATTAAGTTTTCGTTTCGTTACAAGGCATTCATACTTTGGAGATATCATATTTAATGTACAGAAAAGTTAATATTAAACAATACATGCTAAAGAATTAATAAATAAGATAATAAAATAAATTTATACGTAATTACTTTCATTTAATATGCTTTATGCTGTATAATATTGATTAAGAGGCATTAAAAGGTTCCATAATCTGCTTTTATAGGCAAGATTTTTGATAAAAATTTTAAATTTTGAAAAATGATGAGAAAAGGAAAAAAAAGGTAAATGAGAGCAAGAGGAGGGAAAAAAAGAAAAAGAAAAGGAAGGGAAGGGAAAAATAAAAGAAAGAAGGACATATAAAAATTTAGATGCGCATTCTTAATGCCGAGGCGGCTTGCCGCCGAGGCGCGATTTTTTTAGGCCTCTACGGTAACCCGGCAATGTTTTTTTAAATCTTGTACAGCCCTAGTTAGAAGAGTTGGAGAAAGGAAGAGAGTTATAAAGCAATGAATTCAACAGGGTAGAAATGAGGGTAGAAATGAGGTTAGATCTAACCTTCTACCCTAAATTTAAATGGATGTTTTCATACGTGTGGGAGTGGTGATATCATTAATTTTTAAGTTTATTTTTTATTTTATTTTTATATAAATGACGAAAACTATTGAGATAACAAACTACAACGGTCATGAGTTCAAGAATTTGTTCTTCGTTCCTCGTGAAAATACATTCTATCAGATACGAGGGAGAAAGGGTAAAGTTAGTTTGAGCGTTTATGAAGGAATGAAGAATGGAAAGTTTATACAAGCATACGATACAAACGGTAAGCGTGTTTCATTAGCTTTGTCAAAACTTACAGGTATAAACTATGACAGTGATTTTGACTCTGACGATTGGAGCGACAGCAGCGATACTGAAGAATATGAACTATTGTGTGAAGCACAGCAATGGGAAGAGTTGCAATACTTTTGTAAGTGAGAACGTTTATTTTTACAGTAGTAAGGTGAAGTGGTTGGCGGCTTTATAAATATTTAAGGTTAAGTTGATGTTTGTGTTTGTGTTGTAAAATATACGTTAACGGTTTTGTAAAGTGTCAAATTCACATATCAGGTGTAAGGAGGCTCGCAGTGCCTCCGTACACTTGATATGTATACTAACTTTGGGAAGGGTTTTATGTGGTACTGAGTTGTAATTTTTCCTGAATTTATCAAGAAATTCTTGAATTTGTTTTGCATTTGAAGACCGGCCGACATTTCTTTCAAGAGACGGCCAGAGCCTTTCAATCTTGCCGTTCTGGCGCGGCATATGGGGGAGAGTGTGGCGGATTTGAATGTTGTTTCGCATGAGCCAATTATAAAATTGGCCCATATTCTCTCCCCCGGTGTCGGACCAGAAACAAAATGGCTTTTGATATAAGCCAATCGTTTCTTCGGCAACTCTTGTTGTAGATTCGGAAAATTTATTGGCAAAATTTTTAAAGCCAAACAAAAACCGAGATTTATCGTCTATTATACCATAAACAGGTAACCTCTGTGAACCGTATAAAAAATGAACATCTACATGCCATAATGGCATCAGGTTTTGTTTTGCTTCATATGGCGTATAATATTTTTGAGGGGGCCTGTCACTTTTTGGTTCTTTGATCTCCAAAATACTGTAAATTCTTCTGAGTTTATTGTAGGAAACTGAATAAACATTTTGATCCATGTTTAAACGCCAAAACATCTTTTGGATTCCGCACTTATATTCCTGAAATTTTTGGAGAACATATTGCAAATTTTCAGGAGTAATATCATCTGGTGCCGGACCAGGTTTAACGTTTGGGGGTGTTAAATTTGCATTTGTGTATGCTGCTTTAAGTGTGTTTTTCGAAATTGATCTAAATTCACACTTCATTTCATCCTCGGATGGAACTCGCTTACACGCAATTAAATAATTGAGTTCGCGAGATTCAAGTTTTTCGCGTGTTTGAATTAACCACCAAGAAGGAATGGTTGGTCTACTCATAATAAAAAATGAAAAGCCAAATTCTCTCAAAAAGTTAAGTAGGACCAATTTTTATAAAAAAAATCCAATTCCATTATGAATGTTAATTAATTTATATAATTATTGAATAAAAAATTTTCTTTGAGATTATGAAAAGTTCTTTGAAAAGTTATTTTTTCTCATTTTTAAATATTGTATTAGCCTATTTATTTATATAAATCTTTAAATTCAATATTTAAAGAATAATTTTGAAGGAATTGAGTTACTTTCCCCGACGATAAAATTGAGAGGTTTACATTTTGACCGAACTTAGCATGCAACATTTATATACTATTCATCTATTAGTAAACACTACCGTAAAAAAAAGGTAGTGGGGCTTCCAGGCACTTCGTGCCCTCTAGCCCCGAAGATGTTTAGTATAAATGAAGTTTTTATTCGGAAAATTGTTAGTCTTCTGGTGTGAATTCGGAGGACTCTTCTTCTTCCTCCATTGCTTCTGGGAAGAAGCCTTCTTCTGGGTCGAAAACATTATATAATGTTTCACTTTTCACAAATTATATATGTTTTCAT